TTTTTATCCAGATCAGCCTCCGACCACATTCCTCCTACCTTCACTTCTCCTGCAGCTGAAATGACAGGTTTGAGCCACCACACCTTGCTTGTTCATTGAAATGGTGGGGAGGGAGGGGGCAAGAGCTAGATAACTTTCTGTCCAGGCTTGTCTCATACCTCTGTCTTCCTGATCTCTGCTTCTGGAGTAGCTGGGATTAGAGGTATGGGTCGACACACAGGGCTGTATGTTGACGTCTTACATAACTGCACAAAGTCAAAACCAGAAAGTTGACACAGATACTATCTGTGGATTGCATTTAAATTTCAACAGCTGTCTCCTGTATCTTATCCCTGTGTAGTTTATGCAATTTCTTTACGCAGGTTAGAGTAGGAATGCCACACATATCAAGTTTACACACAGGACCTTAGGCAACTTTTTTTTTTTTTTTGGGTCCTGTCATGGGGCCTAAACTCTGGGCCTGGGCGCTGTCCCTCAGCTCTTCAGCTCAAGGCTAGCGTTCTACCACTTGAGCCACAGCGCCACTTCCAGCTTTTTTCTTTTTGCTTATGTGGTGCTGAGGAATCGAACCCAGGGCCTCAGGCATGCAAGGCAAGTGCTCTACCACTGAGCCACCTTCCCAGCCCCCTTAGGCAACTTTGTAACTATATTATCAATAGAGAGGGAAAGTGGGTACCACAGGCTGTGAAGAGTAGAGTGATTAAAAATGAGTTATAATGAACCAGTCACCAATAGCTCACACCTGTCATCCTAGCTACTCAGGAGGCTGTGATCTGAGGATCTTGGCTCGAAGCCAGCCTGGGGCAGAAAAAATTCATGAGATGCTTATTTCCAATGAACCACCAGGAAACCATACATGGTGCTATGGCTCAAAATGGTAGAGTGCTAGCCTTGAGCAAAAGGAGCTCAGGGACAGTGCCCAAGCCCTGAGTTCAAGCTCCAGGACTGGCAAACAACAACAACAGCAAACAAACCAAAACCACAACATTGTGTCCAGCTATGCAAAGAGTGAATGTCTTATGAAGACCAGTAGGAAGTCCAGATGGTACTTTGTGAGAGTCTTGTTGGAGGAGGGGTTTAGGTAAGAGGACCCCAGGAAGTGACCTCATCTTTGACAAAAGACCAAAGAGAACTTGGAACCCAGGTATCCAGGTAGCCACATTCCAAAACTAGCCTCAACTGGCAAACTTGTCACGCTATAGCAAGGAAAAACATCATGTTTTCTTGTTTTCCGATTTTTACTGGTTCAGACTCCAGGAGATCCTGCAGAGAGCGCTTGGTTGACACCTGCAGACACTGGATCAACCCTAGACCCAGACCCCAACCCCAACCCAGACCCCAAAGAAGATTCTGGCCCTTTATATGGAGAGACCGGCAAGTGACTCCTGGCAGTCCAGACCAGGAGAGCTGGGATCCAGACACCACTGTAACTCCTCCACGCCCATCCCAGGTGCCAACTGGAGTGGATGCCAAATGGGCTGAGCCCACTCTGCTGAAGATGAAGCTGGGTTATCGAACTGCGGCGGCAGCAGCTGCTGTGCATGCCAGGATGATAGAGGCCCCTTCATCTCAGATTGCTGAGTCTCCAGCTGGGCCTGCAGAAGAGCCACCACTGCCGTGTACCCAAGTAGATCTCCTGGTGGATCTGTCCACAGCTGCTGGGGTGGACCCAGCCCCGCCAAAAGCCTCATCTGGAGAGTTACAGCCCCGGAGAGCAGTTCTGCATCTTGTTGTGTATCTGCCCACGGCATACAATGAAGACACCACTCCATCGGCATCAGATGACGAAGACTCAGCCCAAGGTGCAGACCGCGCGGCTCTCATGGTGCCTCTGCCCTCACCACTGCAGGAAGAACCATTTTCACCTGCTCAAGAGGAACGACCCGGGGCAAACGATCTGTATCTGGAGGATTTCCTGTCCACAGCATCTGAGACAGACTCTCCTGTACCCATGTCAGGGGACCAAGAGCCCCAGCTGGAGCCAGCCGGCCTGGATCTGCCCAGGGTATCTGACACAAGCTCTATTCCATCAGACGAAGAAGAGGAAAAACCAGTAAGATGTCGAGCACTTTGGCATCATGAGGTGTCTCTGACCAATGCCTATGAAGAAAATCCTCTTCCACCAGTAGCCGATGTCTGAAGAGGTGGTTCCCATTCCAGCTGACCTCAAGCTTGAAGTTACCTGTATCACTTAGGACAGATGGACCTCCGATCCGTGACTGTGCTCACTGCTGTAGAGATCTAGCAGGCTCGACAGACTTGGTCTGACACAGACTTACCTTTATGTGCAGGGGGCAGTTTAGCTTCCAGCAGATAAATCCACTTGATTGCAACTTAAGACTGGGAGCACAACTTTGGGTGTGGAGATAGAGACTTACAAAGTCCTGAGCGCCACTGAGCACCAGCTCAAGCACTGAGAGCAGCCCTTTTCCTCCCCTTGGAAGTGATCTGCTGAGCTTTTCTTCTTTTGTCCTTTCTATACATAATTTTACAATTGATGTAAATAAAAGTTTATTATTGTTCAAAAAAAAAAAAGAATCTAATGATCCAATTGCCAGTGGCTCACACCTGTAACACTAGCTACTCAGAAGGCTGAGATCTGAGGATTGAGGTTTGAAGCCAGCCAGGGCAGAAAAGTTTGTGAGATGTTCATCTCCAGTAAATTACACAGAAAAGGCCAGAAGTGGCACTGTGGCTCAAGTCATAGAGTGCTAGCCTTGAGCACAAAGAAACTCAGGGATAACACCAAGTTCCTGAATTCAAGTCCCAGGACTGGCAAAAGAAAGAAAGAAAGAAAACCACAGAAGTGGAACTGTGGCTCAGGTGGTGGTAGAATGCCAGTCTTGAGCAAAAAAGTGCAGGGACAGTGTCCAAGCCCTGAGTTCAAACCTCAGTTCTGGCAAAAAAAAAAAAAAGTCTCATGGATTTTCCTGTGATTTTCAGATCTCAGCCTCCTGAGCAGCTAAGATTACAGGTGTGAGTCACTGGTACCCAGCACAAGGGCATTTTACTCATCCATTAGAAAGAATAATATGTCATTTATAGGGAAATGGATGGACCTAGAAGAAATCATGTTAAGTGAGGTAAGCCAAGTTCCGAGAGACAAAAGGTATATGTTTTCTCTCATATGTGGAAGCTAGATCAAAAATACAACTGGAGGGCTGGGAAGGTAGCTCAGTGGTAGAGCGCTTGCCTTGCATGCATGAGGCCCTGGGTTTGATTCCTCAGCACCACATAAGCAAAAACGTCAGAAGTGACACTGTGGCTCAAGTGGTAGAGTGCTAGCCTTGAGTTGAAGAGCTGAGGGACAGCGCCCAGGCCCAGAGTTCAGAGTTCATACAACTGCGTATGATCACCTCTATAGGGTTGTATGCATTCACACACACAAGGTCAGACCAAGGGAGGCTACCCTTAGGGGAAAAAACCAAACCGTTCATTCCTCTGAATAGCTGAATTACTATCAATGTATTTATCAAAATTAATTCCAGGAAATGGAATCATGGGTTTTGTAATCGCAGTTGTTATCGGTTGTGCTTTTTTTTTTTTTAAATTTTTGTTGGTCATAGGGCCTGACCTCTGGCCTGGCTGCTGTCCCTCAGCTCCTCAGCTCAAGGCTAGCCCTCTACCACTTGAGCCACAGCACCACTTCTGGCTTTTTCTGCCTCATGCATGCAAAGCAAGCACTCTACCACTGAGCCACCTTCCCAGCTGTGCTACTTTTTTTTGGAGGGGGGATGGCTGAAGGGGGGGGCCACAGGAATGCAGGGAGGAAAAGTGAACAAATGCAGTCATACTAGTCAATATACACTATATAAAAAACACACTATGTAACTTGTGGACAGGGATGGGAGGGAGAAAATCAGGGAAAGTGAAGAGCATGGTACCCATTACCCGACTTATGGAATTGTTACCTCTTTGTACAACTCTTTTTTTTTTTTTTTTTTGGTCGTGGGTCTTGAACTCTGGGCCTGGGTGCTGTCCCTCAGCTCTTCAGCTCAAGGCTAGCACTCTACCGCCTGACCCACAGCACCACTTCCAGTTTTCTAGTGGTTTATTGGAGATAAGAGTCTCACGGACTTTCCTGCCTGGGCTGGCTTTGAACCGTGATCCTCAGATCTCAGCCTTCTGAGTAGGTAGGATTACAGGCGTGAGCCACCGGTGCCTGGCTGTACAACTCTTTAATAATCATTTTTTGAAATAGAGAGAAGGGAAGTAGGCTTGGAGAGTGTGACGCAAGCGGAGGAGTGTGTGGTCTCAACTGGCAGGGGTGTGGCTTGAGCAGTAGGGGCGTGGCCTCAAGAGGCAGAGGGCGTGGCTGGAGTAATAGGGGTGTGGTATCAAATAGTGAGCTGTATACCTAGAAAGCATAGGGATCTGAGTTCAAGCACCAGTATTGAGAGAAAGACAAAGAAAGAAAGAAAGGAAAGAAGTCAGGTGCTGATGGCTCAGGCCTTCAATCCTAGCGACTCAGGAAGCTGAGATCTGAGGATCACGATTCCAACCCTGGCAGGAAAGTCCTTGAGACTCTTGTCTGCAGTTAACCACCAAAAAGCTGGAAGCGGAATTGAGGTTCGAGTGGTAGAGTACTAGCCTTGAGCAGAAATGCTCCGGGACAGAAATGCTCAGGGACAGTGCCCAGGCCCTGATTTCAAGTCCTACAACCAATCAGAAAGAAATAAAAAGAAAAGAAAAACAAAAACAAAGCAGTAATAGCCCTCAAGGTGTGGGAGTGGGCAGCCTACTCACTCCTTCTCTGAATAAAGCCCTGCATGAAATGCCACCTCTACAAGCCAGGGCCCAAGGCCACTTGTGCCACAAGCAGAGCATCCTCATGATGGGAGGAGTGGCCTGGCAGGTTTTTCCTCCCAGCCTGCCTGCCTGCCTGCCTGCCATGGGCCCCGGCTCTCCTCTCCCCACCTCCTGGCCCAGCCCTCCTGGGCTCACTGTCTTGTCTGACTTGTCACTGCTGCCAAAGTCCCGGCGCCTGACATTGGGACAAGATGCCTAGCATCTTCAGCTATCAGAGTTCCGAGGTAGACTGGTGTGAGGACAATTTCCAACACTCGGAGCTGGTGGCTGAGTTCTACAACACGGTGAGGGCTGAGCGCTGGACCTCGCAGGCGTTGGGAGAGGGAGGTGGGAGGAATCTCACCAGTCTCAGGTTCAAATCCTGGAGCTTCTTACTTCCCTCTTCCTCTCCTGGAGAAGGGTGCTGGAATGGCTCCTCTTTCTTGTGTGGGGCTTGGCTTTCTTGTTTTGGTAAAGATATGTTTGTCCCCTTTCCCTTCATTCCTTCCTGTATCTTTGGTGGTCACTTGGGTCTGGGGTGGGTGGTCTGTGATGTGTACATAGGCAGCTCTGAGGAGACTTTGTGGGGAGGGGGCTCTGAGTCTGGGAGGGTGAATCCAGGAAGGCTCCCTAGAGGAGGTGGGCATGTTGGTCTTTTTTTTTCTCTCAGCAACACCTCCAGACCAAGGTGGCTAACACCCCCATTTTTCTGGGGACTAGCCTACTATTCCAGCTCCCAGGAAACCCCTCAGGTGCAGGAATCGCCAGTCACGCTCACCCCAGACCCTGCTCCCTTACAAGTGCTCACAGGTGACTGATACAGAAGAGGAAGGAGAGCTGTGTGGTTTGTTGTCCCTGTTGCCGTTCCCTGCAGCTCAGTCAGTGCTCAGTCACTACCTGGTGAGCCGTGGTCCTACAGAGTCCAGGTGAGGTACGGGGAGACAAGCCTGGGGCTTGAACTCAGGTCCTCATGTGTGCAAAAGAAGTTGTTCTACTGCTTGAGCCACACTCCCAGTCCTTTTTTGCTTTAGTGTAGTTTGTGTGCCAGGACTGAGATTTGAACTTGGGGCCTTCAGCTCTCAATTTGTTTTTCCCCTCTACCCCTGGAATCATGGTGTCATTTTCTGGCAATTCATTGGTGATAAGAGTCCCAGGGGCTTTCTGGTCTGGCTTTAAACCCAGATCCTCAGATCTCAGCCTCTTAAGTAGCTAGGATAACAGGCGTGAGCCATCAGCACTGGGTTCAAGCATTTCTAAGTCACTGAATGTTTAGTGCCATTGGTGTCAACCCCAGGTTTCACAAAACAATACCTAACCTTTCCCTGCAATCCATTCGTGAGCATTTTCCCCCTTTGGATTTTTCTTTATGAGACTGGGTGTGGCACTGGTTCCACTCGAATTGAAAAGGCTCTGCTGGGAGCCAGGTACTGGTAGCACCCACCTGTAATCCCAGCTGCTCTGGAAGACAAAGTGGGAGGATTGCCATTGGAAGCCTGCCAAGGGGGAGTAGAGGCAAGATTTTATCTCCACAGATAAGCTGATTACAGACTTTCATACTTATTATCCCTGACACAGGCCTGGCTAAGGTAGGAGGTTAGGAGCCTTGGGCAAAAAAGCAGAAATAAGCCAGGCACAGGTGGCTCATGCCTATAATCCTAGCTACTCAGGAGACTGAGATCTGAGGATCATGGTTCAAAGTCAGCCTGGGCAGGAAAGTCTGAGAGACTTTTTTTTTTTTGTCGGTCCTGGGGCTTGAACTCTGGGCTTGGGCACTGTCCCTGTGCTCTTCAGCTCAAGGTTAGCCCTCCACCACTTGAGCCACAGCACCACTTCTGGCTTTTTTGCTTATGTGGTGCTGAGGAATCGAACCCAGGGCCTCATGCATGCAAGGCAAGCGCTCTACCACTGAGCCACCTTCCCAGCCCCTCTGTGAGACTCTTGTCTCCAATAAACCACCAGAAAACCATAAGTGGTGCTGTGGCTCAAGTGGTAGAATGCTGAATGGGGGCTGGGAAGAGCACTTGCCTTTTATGGATGAGGCCCTGGGTTTGATTCCTCAGCACCACATAAGCAGAAAAAGCCAGAAGTGGTGCTGTGGCTCAAGTGGTGGAGGGCTAACCTTGAGCTGAAGAGCTGAGAGACAGTGCCCAGCCCAGAGTTCAAGCCCCAAGACTGATGAGAGAGAGAGAGAGAGAGAGAGAGAGAGAGATGAAGGTACTAAGAGTGGTACACCCATAATCATTCCTAGCTACTTTGCACACTGAGATTTGCTGATCAGAGTTTAAAGCCAGCCCCAGCAGGAAAGTTTGTGAGCTGCTAATAACCAGTTAACCACCACAAAGCCAAAAGTGGATTTGTGGCCCAAGTGGTAGAGCACCAGCCCTGAGTGAGAAAGCTCAGGGAGAGCACCCAGGTTGTAACTTCAAGCCCAAGTACTGGCACGCATGCACACACACACACATACACACACATGCACACATGCACACCAAAAGCTGAGCTATGAACTCAGGAGACTAAGATCTGAGGCTAGAGGTTTGAAGCAGGCTCAGGCAGGAAAGTGTGAGAGGCTCTTATCTCCAATTTACCACACACACACACACACACACACACAGAAACACACATGTGAAAGTGGAGCTGTGGCTCAAGTGGTAGAGTACTAACCTTAAGCAAAGGAGCTCAGAGACTGCACCCAGGCCGAGTTCAAATCCTAGGACTGACAGGAGAAAAAAAATCCTCTCTAATTCTGTTACCTGGGGTTCAAAGCAGCCACAGATGATAGGTAAATGAGTGGGCAAAGCTTGCCAAGCCCAGCTTTATCTGTTGCCACCCAAGTGGCGCTGTGGTTCAAGTGGTAGAGTGCTAGCCTTGAGCTGAAGAGCTGGGAGACAGCGCCCAGGCCCAGAGTTCAAGCCCCAGGACCAGCCCCCCCCCCAAGAAAAAATCCAGGTAGAGCAGGGTACACCTGTAATCCCAGTACACCCCTTGGAAGGTTGAGGCAGGAGGACCTGAGGTCCCGGCCAGCTTAGGCTCCATAGTGAGACTCTCAAACAAACAAACCAACAAAAAAAGAGAGCATGATTTTGATCTGGGGATGTAAATGAAAAGACAAAGTATGTATGTTGCAGAAAAATATTTAAAGGTGTCCCCATTGATTTTTATCATGACTGGTTTAGGAGTTGTGACTCACAGTGGGGAAGTTTGGTTGGTTGGCTGGTTTTTTTCCCTTCTCATGGCTCTGCTGGCTAGGTGTTCTATTGTAGATGAGAGAGGCAAAGCCCAGGCATCCCTGGCCCAGGCAGCAAACAGAGGCACCAAAAGACTCAATTCTGGGGCACTTCAGAGGAGGATTTTGAAAGATGAATAGGGATTCACTAAGCGTGTCTCTACCTGGAAGGAAAATAGAAGCTTGTCAGGTTGGGGGAGGAGGAAGGGCTGTTTCTGTGGCTAGAATTTCAAGAGTGATTAAAAAAAATAAAATCAAACCAGATTGCTCCCAGGGTTAGTGTTTGAACCTTGTCCTGTGTTCATTAACAAACTCATTCATTCAACAAACATGCAGGACCAGGCTCTGGTGACTCACACCTGTAATCCTCGCTAATCAGAAGGCTGAGATGTGAGGATCCTGGTTCAAAGGCAGCCCAGGGAAGAAATCCAGGCAAGAGAACTCAGATCTCCAATTAACTACCAAGATTCTGGAAGTAGAGCTGTGGGTCAAATGACAGAGTGCAGCCTTGATCATAAGAGCTCAGGAACAGTCCTAGGCCCCAAGTTCAAACCCCAGGATAGACAACAAACAAAAGTAAATTTAAAAGAGCACAGCTAGGGCTGAGAACGTAGCTTAGTGGTCGAGTGCTTGGCCTAGTGTGCATGATGTCCTGGGTTTGATTCTTCAGTACCACATAAACAGGAACAAACAAACAAACAAAAAAGAAGAGGCACTGTGGCTCAAGTGGCAGAGTGTTAGCCTTGAGCAAAAGAAGCTCAGGGACAGTGCCTAGGCTTGGAGTTCAAGCCCCAGGACTGGCAAAATAAATAAATAAATAAAGCATAGCTAATTCTCTTCTGTAGGGCAAAGAGAATGGCCTGTGCAAAAGGCTCTGATGAAAGAGCTCCCAGCCAGTTGGGAAATAGCTGGTGACTTGACGCTAACCAGCAGTTGAGGCTGGGTGTGGATGAGGGAGAGGGCCAGTGAAATGTCAGGCCAAATGAAGGCATGCGGAGTGGGAGTCATGAAGAGGTCAGCTGGGTCGAGTGGGTGAATTCTGCAGGGAGGGAAGCCAGGAAGGACCCTGCAAATGCAAATAGAGGTGGGGAACGGGGAACAGGGAGAGGGTTGGGAGCATCCAAGAGAAACTCGCTTGCTTCTAGAAGGCCCTAGAAGGACAGGAGGAGGTCAGGATGAAGAGGGTGTAGAGAGGACCTGGACCTTCCCTACTGCTTTCCAGCCTTGCCTCTTGCTGGTGTGAATGCTGTAGGACCCAGGGGGAAAAGCTAGCCCTCTGGGAGCTCCTGGTTGCAGTGTCTTAGGGCAGACCACATGTGGACAGGAGATCTAACCCCTTCTGCCCCTCAGCCTTCCTCTTCAACCACATTCAGTCTCAGCCTGAGCACGGGATGGTGGCATGCACCAGCCTGGCACCCAGATAATTACACTTCTGGGAATGGTGATAATGCTGTGGTGCTCACAGCCCAGCCGGGCCTCGGGCCTTGTAGTGAGCATCTTCTGATCTCCACCCTTCCAGGGCTGGTGAGACACTGCAATCTAGGTGACAATTTCTTCATTTTCTGTCTTATCCAGAGATGTGGGATGGATCCCTTGGGCCATGGGCTGGGCTCTGTTCTGGCTCTGGGGATGCTGAAGTCACCCAAATAGACAACTCCCTTCCTGGTGCCCTGGGCAGGGGTGGGGATTGGGGGCATGGGGGTGGGGAGGTGGTAGGGACTGAAGTTCTGGAAATGGTAACAGACAAATCACAAAAGGCAACAGTGCAAGATGGCAGAAGAATCTACTAACTAGGTTCCCGTCAATTGAGGAAGGAATCCATTCTGTGTGTGTGTGTGTGTGTGTGTGTGTGTGTGTGTGTACACGCGTGCCAGACCTGGGTCTTGAAATCAGGGCCTCACACTTTCCTCTGGCTCTTTTGTTCAAGGATGGCACTCTACCACTTGAGCCACACCTCCAGTACAGCTTTTTGATGTTTCATTTTCTTTTGCTTTGTTGGTTATGGGACTTGAACTCGGGGCCTGGTTGCTGTCCCTCAGCTCTTTTGCTCAAGGCTAGCACTCTGCCACTTTAAGCCACAGCACCACTCCCAATTTACTGCTGGTTAATTGGAGATAAGAGTCTTATGGACTTTCCTGCCTAGGCTGGCTTTGAACTGCGATCCTCAGATCTCAGCCTCCTGAGTAGCTAGGATTACAGGTGTGAGCCACCAGTGCTAAGCTGCTGGTTATTTAAGACCTAGAGTCCCTCCCGTTTTCTGCCCAAGTTGGACTCAAATCCCAAGCCTCAGATCTCAGCCTCTCCAGCAGCTAGGAATATAGGTGAAAGCAATGGAATGTTTGTTGGTTTGTTTTGAGGCTGACTTGGAACTCAAGATCCTCTTTCTCCAGCCTCCCAAGGGCTGGGATTACAGGTGTGCACTCTGTTATACCTGACCTGAAATAGAAATGTTTATGCCACAACTCTCCTCTGACAAAAGGAGACATAAAAGTTTCTTGTGCAAGGTCACAGAGCACACACAGTGTGTGAGGCAATCTTATTAATAAGAGGTTATCCATCAGTTCTTTTTTTTTTTTTTTGGTCGGCCG